CAGGATGGTCTCGATCTCCTGACCTCGTGATCCGCCCGTCTCGGCCTCCCAAAGTGCTGGGATTACAGGCTTGAGCCACCGTGCCCGGCCCAGGAAATCTTAAGATTCATTCTTTCGTTAATGCTTTCAACATATTTTTATATTTCGTGCAGTTGGGATATAACGGCAGAGTGAAAAAATCTCTGTCCTGGTGGAGTTCTAACGGAGAATGTTAGGCAATAATGCAATGGGGAAAAACGTGGAGCAGGGTCAATGGAATGTGGGGGAGTGGTGGCAACGGGGTGGGCTGTGTTTTCAATGGCACAGTCAAGGTAGGCCTGCTGGAGAAAGTGACACTTGAGCAGACCTGAGTGAGAGGAGTGATTTCCAAGTAGCCAGTCTGGAGAAGGAGCACTGAAGGCAGAGGAAGCAGCCAGCACAGAAGCCAGGCTTTGCAGGGGGAGCTTGTTAGCTTTGAGGAACACATTGTTCTTGAAAGGAGAGAGGTCACCTTGAGTTACCCTGGTATCCTTTCTTTGTATCTTTGCCTTGCATCAGGGGCCACGGAACGTATATGGGAGAAGAGAAGCTCATTGCATCTGTTGCTGGCTCTGTGGAGAGAGTAAACAAGTTGATCTGTGTGAAAGCTTTGAAAACCAGGTGAGAACAAAAGGTGTGTATTCCCTTTCTTGCGGCATCCAGGTTGTACAACCAGGCTTTTACTGCCCCCTCCATATCCCCTACCCCACCCCTGCCTGCCCTGTCATGCTGTAAGTCTGAGGTTTTGACCATGACTGTAGGTGGGGTGGTGCAGATCAGTGTAGGCTTCAGAGGTTTTCCCATGTTACGTCACCACTCCAAGCCTTGGTTACCTCCTCTGCAAAGTGAGTATAATAGCATGGCCTACATCACAGGATTTTCTTTTTTTTTTTTGAGACGGAGTCTCGCTCTGTTGCCCAGGCTGGAGTGCAGTGGCACAGTCTGCTCGCTGCAACCTCTGCCTCCCGGGTTCAAACGATTCTCCTGCCTCAGCCTCCCAAGTAGCTGGGATTACAGGCACTCGCCACCACGCCTGGCTAATCTTTTTATACTTTTAGTAGAGACAGGGTTTCACCATGTTGGCCAGGCGGGTCTCGAACTGCTGACCTCAGAAGATTTCCCCCCACTTGGCCTCCCAAAGTGCTGGGATTACAGACGTGAGCCACTGCGGCTGGCCTAGGATTTTCTTTAGAATTCAGTGAGATGGTGCATGTAAAGTATTTAGCACAGGGCCTGATACCTAGAAGCATTCAATGAAGGTTAGCCCCAGAAAGCAAGCCAGTGAGGTTAGAACAGAGTGAGTGAGGGAGAGAGTAAGGGCAGATATGAGCAGAAAGCTGAGGTGGGCAGACATGGGCCTGCCTTGTAGCCAGAGTAAGCATTTCGGCTTCTACTTTGTGTAATCTGGGAAGCCCCTGGAAGGGGTGGAGCAGAGGAGGGACTTGATCTGGACTTAAGCTCACTGTGGCTGCTGATAGGAGATTGAAGGGGGATAGAGGAAGCTTAGGGAGGTGGATTAGGGACCATACTCATAATCTGAAGTGATGGTGGCTTCGACTAAGGTGGTAGCAGTGGAAGGTGGAGGAGTGATTGGGATCCACATAGATTTTATTTTCTGAGTGTTTTTTTTGAAATCATGAAAAGGTGTTGGGTTTTGTATTCTTTGGACTTTACTGTACATAGGACCCAGTCAACTGTGAATAGAAATAATTTTACTTCTTCCTTTCCAATTTGGATGCCTTTTATTTCCTGCATATGTTTTAAGGGTAGAGCCAGCAGGATTTGCTACTGGACTTGTCCTGAAGTGTGAGAGAGAGAGAGAGGAATCAAAGAACTCTCCAAGGTTTATTGGCCTGAGCAACTGGGGATGGAGTCACCATTGACTGAGATGGGGATAACTCATCCCCTAGCTCGGTTTGCTACGGAGGACTGGAGGGGGCTGTGGGAAAGCTTAGTTTTGGGCGTGATACATTTGAAAATGCCTATTAGTCATCTAAATGGCAGAGTTGTGTAGCTGGCAGTTGAGAAGGATTTGGAATTCAGGAGAGTGGCACAGTGACA